TGTGTACCCAAGATCCCGAGAGGAGAATGGAGGAGAAGCAATTGCAGTGTAGCCATCTCCCCGAGGGGGGGTGAAAAAAAAACAAAACCTCTCTAAAAAAAGAAGAAGAAAATCTTTAGTCAAATGCTGGCACTGTCCAGACCTATTTATAAACAGACATATTTATAATTATTATAAAGTTGAGCTGCTAAAGGAAGTACAAAGTTTGGAGGCCACAGCATGATGTGAACTGCGATTGACACCTGAGTTCATCGGATGATCACCGCAAAGAAGGGGAAGAGATCCCAACGTGGGAGGGGGTTCAGTGATGACCGTGACGACCCGAGCCCCTTCCTGCCCGCCCTGCCCCGTGAGGAGGACAGAGCTGAAGGAAGCGTGTGGAGGACAGCCGGCTGGCGCGGAGGGCTCCGACGCTTAAGCAAGTGGTGCTTCAGTTTCCTCCCTGTGGAACGGGGCAGGCTGGCGGTTAGAATGAACTGGTTTGTAATCGTGAACGTTCCTGGGCATCCGTGTGACCCCCCCCCGCCACACCGTCCCACCTCAGTGTCCGTGTCTAAATAGCAGCACGGTAGAGGCTGCTTGCCGGCTATAGCGGGAGCACGCAGGCAGGAGGGTGCTGGGGTGTTGGGCGAGTTGCCATTACTAAAAGCAGGTGTTGTACCCGGAACTCACTTCATCCTCCCCGTAACTGAGAGGTGGGTTTACACAGGAGAACTGGGGGCGCAGGGAGTTCAAGGGCTCCATCCCAAATCGCAAAGCAAGGTGGAAGTGAAGGGTCAGGAAGCAAGTGGGGTCTCTGACACCAAAGCAAGCCATACTCTGCAAAGCTCCTGGTACCCCGGCAGAGGAGGGATACAGAGAACGTCTTCATCTTCAGCAGCCGGCTTGGGATTCGGGGCACTTCACGGGGTCCTCACAGCCTTCCTTATGGGCTTAAGGCCATGCTGGGCATTAGGACGGACAGCACACCTCGGAAATGTGGTCCGGCTCCCAGCTCCATTACTGCCTGTGGGGTCATGGGTCAGTCACGTCACCTCCCCAAGCTTCGGGTTCCTCGCCCATAACAGGAGAGTAAGAGCTATGAGAGTGGGGAAGGGAACGGCAGAGCTGGAGGTGTCTAGGCAGGGCCTGGCTTACAGGACGCGTTCGACCCTTGCTCTACGCGGACACGGCAGCCACCTCCCCTCTCCAGGAGTAGATGCGAGGGATAGGTGGGGGCCGGGGCTCAGTGTTCCCCTGCCCCTTGCCTGCCCTCTTCTTCAGGGAAGGGGCCCCAACCCTCACTCAATGCCCCTGGGGGAGGAGGCCGAGGAGGGGAGCCAAGAGTTCTCAATCCTTACCCAGCAGCTCCCCCGACCCCACACAAGTACTCCCCATTACGCACCCCTCCTAGGAGGGTCTAGTCCTCCCAGACAGTGTCCTGTTCTCCACTCTCCAGGGCACTGGGGCCACAGCTGTGGTCCAGCTGCAGAGCCCAGCCTAGGCGGGACTGGCCCGAGCTAGAGACAGGAAGCAGAGAGAGTTGCGTGTTGTGCTGGCCACTGCAGAGGGGTGTGCGCCAGGACCTGGGGCCCATCTGAGTTCAAGGTGTGTGGGAGGGGCTGTAAAGGAAGGGCTGTGGGGTGGGAGGGCACTGTGGGAGGCCAAAAGGAGTCACCTGCTCCTTTGTTGCCCTAAGGGCACTCCCTGGGCAGGGCGTGGCGATAAGCCAGGGGCGGGGCAGGAAAAAAGCACTGGGTTAAGCAGTTAGTGCAGTTAGCGTAATCGCTATGTAGCTGGACTCCCACGTAGTCAACCGTGGTTCATGTCCCGGACCCGATGGCTTAAACTCACGCCGGGCGCGTGTCAACCGTGGTTCATGTCCTGGACCCGATGGCTTAAACTCACGCCGGGCACGTGTGCGCGCGTGCCCAAGATCCCGAGAGGAGAATGGAGGAGAAGGGATTGCGGCGTGGCCATCGCCCCTGAGGAGTGATTTCTCGCTTTCTGTCTCTCTGTCTTTCTGGCGAGCGCACGTGCCCTATAGCACAAATCTCTCCAAAAAAAGAAAAAGAAAAAAAAAAGCACTGGGTTGATGGTCTGCAAACCTGGGGGTGGCGAGGTTTATCACTAATTCACTGTGTGACTTGCATCGGCCCCCTCCTCGCCGTGGCCTCTGTCTTCCCACCTGTGAAACAGCAGCGAGGTGACTGCCTCGGCTGAAGATCGCACCGTCAGGGCAGAGCCTCTGCCAGCATGACGGAGCTTCATCAACAGGCACGTGTCAAATCAACCAAAGGCTAAAAAGTCTATGAAGAAAAGTGAAGCAGTGTGACAGGGCAGAGAAGGAGGAGTCCGGGAGGCCGCTCCGAATAGGTGACAGGAGCGGAGGAAATGAGCACGTGCGGAAGGGGGCCACGTGGCTATCCAGAGGAAGCACATTCCGGGCAAGAGGATGAGCAAGTGCAGAGGCCCCAAGGCAAGAGCGTGCTTGGCCAGTTACAGAGAAAGGAAGGAAGGAGAAGCAAATCGCAGCAGGAGTCTAACGGGTAGGGACAAACCCCAGGGCTGGAGGGCCCAGCTCGGAGAGGCAGAAGACCGTGGTAAGGACTTTGCATTTCACTCCGGATTGGTCAGTCAGTCCCAGGAAAGCGAGGCCTGGACTCGGGTGCAGAGCACACCTTTGGTTTGTGTGTGTGTGTGGGTGTGTGTGTGTGGTGTGTGTGTGTTGGCCACTCAATGACCCTGACATCCTGGCCAAGTCCTTTAGGAAGAGCTGGTAGGAGTGTAGGGACTAGGATGAGCACGCGAAGCCTGGAGAGAGGGACACATATGGCTCAGGGACAAAATGTAAGGAGGCATCAAAAAAGTCAGTAATTAGCACAGCTATTGTGGCATAGCAGTAATGCAGGGCCCTGCAAGGCTGGAAGCCACAGGGCTAACACGGGTTCAGAGTCCTGGGTTGGCCTGTAAACACGCCAAGCAAGCATGCAGGCACCAGGATCCTGAGAAGCTGGAGGGACAGGAAAGGAGACGGAGGGAGGATGAGAGTCTGTGGAGGGTGCTTCTCTCTTTCATGCACTGCATGTATTCTTTATCATAAAATTTTTAAAAATTAACTCAGTAATGAAAATAATGTTTTCCAGAATTAATGCAAAAAAGTCCATGATGAACAAAATACTGACATTTTAAAACAAGATAGGATTGGGAACCAGCAGTTAGCGTAATGGCTATGTCACTGGACTCCCACATAGTCGACCGCGGTTCACGTCCTGGACCCGGTGGCTTAAAACTCACGCTGGGCACATGTGTGTGCGTGCCATGGATCCCAAGAGGAGAATGGAGGAGAAGGGATTGCAGCGTGACCATCCCCCCTGGGGGGTGATTTCTCGCTTTCTGTCTCTATGTCTCTCTCTGTCTGTCTGGCAAGCACACGCGCCCTATAGCAAAAATCTCTCCAAAACAAACAAACAAACAAACAAAAACAAGATAGGATTCAACCTTGAACTTACCTGATCCTGTCTCAATCTTTTCATCCTAACCTGGCCCTGGTTCCAGTAAAACTTTATTTTTAAAACTAGGCAGCTGGCCTGCAGAGTTGCAATTTGCCTGTTTAGCTCTTTAAAATACTGCTTAGGGTCAGCCTGTAGCTGGGTGGTTAAGGCAGTTGGATCCCACATGGCTGATGGCACAGTTGGAGTCCCAGACCCGTTGGCTTGAAAACCACACAGGGCATGCATGCCTGCATGCTCAAAATCTCAACAACAACAACAAAAGAAATGGAGAAGTGGGGCAAGCAGTTGGCAAGGTGGTTAAAGACACTGGACTCCCACATGGCTAACCAAGGTTCGAGTCCTGGACCTGGTGGTTTACTTTCTCAGTTTCTCTTTATCTCTCTTCTCCTCTTTCTCTCTGTGTCCCTCTATGGTCAAATTAAACAAACAAATAAAGTTAAATATTTATTGTTAAATAATTATTGTTAAAAAGAAGGAATGGAGGTGGGATTGAAGCATGACCAAGCCCCCTGAGGGGTGCTTTCTCCCTTCCGTCTCCTTCTCTCTCTCTCTCTCCAGCAAGCACACATACCCTCTGGCAAAACAATTAAAATCTATATTACTCTGAAAGTTTGCACTCCAGGCAAGTACCCTACTTGCCTCACCAGAGTCCTGACCCTGTTAACAATGAAACCTTGGGGTTACACATTGAGAACCCCAGGACTCTGCCCTCTAGAAGCTCTGCGAGGCAAAGGGACTTCCTCAGAGAAACACAGGTGGATGGCAGAGCTGGGATCTGAACTCCTGCCATGCCAAGGCCCACTGCCAGGTCATCACGCCCTCCCGTGCTCTGGCCTGGGGTGCTGTTTAATGAGTGCTGATTTTTAGAAACTTTTTATTCAAGTATAATAGTCATAACAAAACGTGCACGTGCACTGCACGTTCCGCTGAACCTTCCCAGCGTGCACACCTGTGTAACCAGTGTGTGGGATTCCATCTAAAGCGTGGTTCACGTTTCCAACAAAGCAGACATTAACACCTGGTCAGGTTCAAGGGACTTTGAGACCAAGCAGTCAGCTTCCAACAGTAAGGCTCCAGGATTTGGATGGATTCCGAGTGCAGAGGTCCTGCCTTGAGCTCGGGAAACCGGGTGGATGGGGTGGGGGGGCAGCACTAAAGGCTGAGTTAGGAGAGGCCCCAACCGTGGGAGAGAACAGAGAGACCGGGCTGCCCTTCCAGGCGGGCGAGGCCCAACCCGCGGGCCCAGGTAAGCCGGTAAGAATGCAGCATTTTTTCGCGATAAGAATGGAGCAGCCGCCAAGCCCCGCGCGGGGCGCGTCCCAGTGACTCAGCCCGTGCCAGGAAGGGGGTGTCGCCCGGCTCCCCAGAGCTCCCAGACAGCAGCCTCATCCTGGCCGGCTCCCGGGGCTCCAAGCCAGGCCCCCGCAGCGAGCAGCCCGGCCCCGGGGCCGGGACCCCCTCCTCCCGGCCCGCCCCACCGCCCTCCCGGCCTCAGTCACCCGGGCCCAGAGCGGGGATCTGGCCGCGGGTGGCGAGAGCGCTGCCGGCGCCGTGGGGGCCACGCCGGTGTTGGCCCCGACGGCGCCCCAGGGACCTGAGAACTCCGTAAGTAGCGACCGCGGGGGCTGAGGGTGGGACCAGCAGACGCTCGGAGTCCTCACGTCCCCGCGCCCCCACCAGCCCAAGCAGTGTCGCCGCCCCGGAGAGGTGGCCTGGCGCCGCCGCCTTCGCGGTGGCTCACTGGCCCTGGGGGAGCGGAGCCTCAGACTGCCTGGCGGCGGCCCCTCCCCAGCACCACAATTCCAGATGTGGCGCCCGGAGGCCCAGCCGGGAGAGGCCCCGTCCCTCCCTCCCCTTTCTACACACCCCGGTCTTCGAAGGCCCCGGATTCCAGCCTGGAGCCCCAAGTAGGGCTGGCTCCGGAGCAGCGCTCTTGGCCTCCGAGGCGGCGCGGACAGTTCCCACGGCGGCGGGGCGGGAGGCTAGCATGCCCGGGGCTGCAGGACACCGGGAGGCTGGGCACTCGCGAGCCGCATTTCCCGGAGGGACGGCTTTGGGCCAGGCGGGCGG